GAGAGAGACAGGCAGGCAGGCAGGCAGGGAGAGAGACAAAGGGAGTGAAGGGAAGAACGAGGGAAGTCAACAACACCAGCAGTGAATCAACCACAAACAAAAAGAGAAAATGCATCTTCACATATATATATATATAATAAAAATAAAATAAAAATTAACTTAATACGTGGTTTTATAAATAGATGTCATGTATGCATGAATGGTGGAATTCTCCACATCCCTCGCCGCTTTTCCCCGCGCCCCCGCCCCCGCATTTCACATTTTTTATTCTTATTTTTATTTTACTGCCGCCGCGTCACGGTTTCTTCTCCGTCCCCCTTTTTTCCCTCTCCTCAACCTCACCCCTTCTTCGTGGCAACAAAACACTCTACAAGAGGGTCGTCGTCCCTTTTTTTTTCTTCTGTGCTACAAGACTTTAACACTAGCAGAAGTGTAATGTATATATATGTATGTTTTCTTAGGTTTTGTTTGGTTCGCTTGATCTTCTTTCTTGTTTTCCTTTTTTTTTTTTTTTCTTCTTTCCATTAGAAAAAAATATTCCCTCCACTGCGTCGTCCATCATCATCGGCCTCAGTTGGTACCGTCGTCCAGGCTCAGTCACGCATGCGTGGCAGCGCCAACAAAAGACTCATGCAAGGGAGACACGCCCTACGCGTTTCGTCGTCGTCGTCGTCCTCCACGTTGTGACCGTCGGTTTGCGCTGCTCTCCGTGTCCATGGAGGAACTTCCAACACTCGATTACCGGGAAAGAGACGACGAAGAAGACAGGGAGGAGGAGGAAGAGGGAGATCGCGGTGATACCGTTCGTGTCTGCTCCTCGTGGACGCCACCGTGACGCCCCTCATCATGTTGCACGCGACTGCGCTTGCGCAAGTACGGCGATCTTTCCACACCACCACTGCTGCCGCCGTGAAGCACAACGGAGCTGATGGGGCTTTGCCCGACCTGATCGCCGTCATCGCTGCTTTCCCCAGGGGCAGGGCGCGAGCGACGCTGACGACGCGAATGGCAGTGGTGATGTGGCTTATGCATGGGGGCAATCGAGGGGGACGAAGTCGGCTTCGTGGCAGACGACGGGCCGTGGCGGGGCGATGATTGCGGCATCAACAAGGGGTTTGCACCGTGCCGAGTGGGCGGTGTATTGTGTCTCAGCGTTGGCTTTTCACGTGGTGTTGACGGCTGCTGCTGCGGGTTGTGATTCAGCCGCGGCGACGGAAGCTCCTTCCTCACGCCTGTCATCAATGCCTCCGCCGCGTGACCTGCCGCACCCGCCTCTCCATTACCCGCAACCACCGTTGCTTCCGTGTGACCGGCGGTGGAGGACCTGTCACGCTTCCGCCGCCGCGCTGTGTACACTGCAACAAACTCCAGGAGGCGATACAGTCGCTTTCGACATTCCTCGGCGCAAAAAAGGTTAAAGGAGACACAATCCAGACCCGCTGGCGCCGCTGATGGGGCGTGACCTACCCCGTCTCCCGCATCTCCGCCAGGCCGTCGGGGCGACTGCTGCTGCGCTGCACGGCGTGGCTGCCGATCACGATGTGGCGCGGCGCGGACACGGCCGCCTGGGACCAAACGGCTTCTGCCACCCCCTGGATGGCCGGCGAGCCCCAACATGACTTCTTGATACGTCGGGACGGACCTCACCTCTCGACTGCGCAGCGGGGTTTGCCGCGACGCTCCATGCTGCTGTTGTTGCTGTTCCAGTTTCAATGCAGCTGTGGAGGCGGGGAGGAGCATGGGGCTCTCCGGAAGACCACTGCCACCATTCATTTGCGAGAGCGGTGTGTCCTTGAGCCGGCGTGTTCCGCCTGCATGCACCGCATCCGACTCCCCCCCATCCTCCTCGCCCAACAAAACATCCACCCATGTTGCAGCGGACCCGCCACTTCTTTGTGCGGAGACTAAAAACGACGAGACGGCACCGGATGAAGGCTGTGAGAGCTGCTGCTCAATGCGCTCCAGCAGCGCCACCAGCGAGGCATACATTGCAATGATACGATTCTCCGAAATCCCAAAGACAAGCGATGGTTTTGGTAAAGAGAAGAGATTCTGCTGCAATTCCCGCCGTAGTCTCACGGCGTACGCGGCGTCGTGCGCGTCCGGTAACGACGTGAAGAGGACCTCTGTCTCGCCCCATCCCAGCAACGTGGTGTGGCCCGCAATCGGGTGAGATGCCATCGCTGTCGCCTCACGCACAGAGGCCAACGCATCGAGACGCGACGCGAGCATCGGAACACGCATGCGCCGTCGCACTCGACCGCATCGATCCAAATGACGCACCGTCACTTGCCAAAGTTCCGCACCCAACGACTGGCACACGCAGTCAATGACACATTTCGCACTCTCTGTCTCAATCTGGGCTACAATTGGGCCGTTGAACTGAACGTCAAGCGACTCCACCTGCTGCTCCTTCGCGCCAATAATGCAGAGCGCAATTTTTCCTGTCTCGGCATCAAAGGTCACCGTCTTTCTCGCCGAGCGGATACCCGTGTAGACGGCAAAGCGCTCCGTCACAAAACTAAGAAAGTACACCCCCTTGAACTGCTGTTTCTCGGAGTCGTCCGCAACGCGTATGGAGTAGTTAAACTGATATTGACGTGACGCATGATGTTTGCGTAGAATGCGCTGCACCACACGTGCCACAGATATTTCCTTCTCACGAGTATTTGCAGCGCGCATGTGCTGCAGGGCAGCCAAAAGAGGCAATCGGTCCTCGGAATGCAGAGCAAAGTAGGCGCTCGTCCAGACAGACATGATGGGCGAGAGTCGCCGAGAGAGCGGCATGAGTGTGTAGTTGCCTGACTGTGCCGCCTGCCGCAACGTGTCAAAGAAGCGCGTTGGGCCACTGTAAAGCCCACTGCTCACCGCCATTTCCGCTAACTCCAGCGCTGGCATCGAGAAGGCACTCGCAAACACATAGAGAAGAGCATTTGCACAGGGCGACAACAAGACAGCCTGCATCGTTCCGGCAAAGGGGGATGTTTCAGTGGTGATCGGTGATGTCCACCATGCCGTGTCATCAATGGCAGCTAACGGTGAACTCGTTGTCGCCAAATTATCGGATTCGTGACCATTTCCCAGCGACTGTTGAACACCCTGACAAGAATGATGAAAATAATTATTATTACCATCATTCCCATGATTATCATTATCATTATTGTCGTTGTTTTTGATATTGCTACTTTTGTGATAGACTTGGCGCTGTGGATATAGGCCATGACGATCCAACCACGCACCGATGCGTTCGGTGTGTTCCACGGAATCACAAGGCTGAGAGTCAAATGCACGTGCGAGCTCCAATGCCACAATCATCGCCGTGTGCTCCGGTGAAAGGCCACTCGACACCGCTGTGGAGTAAAGTGAAGAAGAACACCGCCGTCTCTGCCGCAACGTCATCATGTACTCTGCACGTCCTTCTACACGCTGTGGGTGCCACAGCACACTGGGCACGGCAAAGGTCGCCGCTACAGTCATGACATTTTGTAAGTACTGCACCGCCACCTGTGAAGATTCAAAAAAGTCGGATAATGAGACCCCAATGAGTGCGGCGAGAAGCTCCACGTCGACCCACTGCAACTCTTCCCTCTGCTCCTCCCTGCCCACCGCCAACCGTGTGCTCGAGGCGGCGGTGGCATGAGCACTGTGTGGTTGTTGCGACACATCCACACGGCCTGCCAAACGAAACAACGGGAACGGTGCAGGAAAGCGATGGAGCACAAGACTCAGGTACAACGCACCACCCTGCAACACTGCAACCGCCGTCGTCGGCAACCCGGGCATGACAAACAACAGCGCCAGGTCATACGCAGCACGCAGCACGGCGGCAAGACTCTCTCCCGCCGGAAGCACCACATCCTTCCCGCGCTCCATCAGCTGCACATGAGAAAGCCATTCGTAGAAAAATGTGTAAGATGCAACCGGACCCCCACCAACACCGCCGCCGCCGCCTGCAGTGTGGGCACCCCCACCACCCTCCCCGGCTAAATCACCACCATCACTGTCACCATCTTCCTCACCGTCCTCGTTCTCCAAGGCGGGGAGATCTTCTACAATGTCCTTCACAAACGTGGTGCCGGCACCCGTACCACACTGCCAGCACTTCATTTCACTATCCGCAGAAGGCACCCAGGCATCCTGCATACCACACTCGGTGCAGCATGGCGGACGGTGGGACCACCACACAAGGTAGAGCATCTTGTCGTAGAGGCGCCATGCGTTTCGCGTCAAGGGATCCTCGAAGACGTCACAAAAGGCCCCACAAGCAAAAGGGTGTTCGGCTACGCTAGCATCAACCAGGTGGACAACGCCGTTGCCACCACTCAACATCCCACCTGAGGAGACAAGCGAGGAGGAGCACGATGAATGCAGCACCGACTCCACCAGCTTCCCTAGATCCAGTAACTGACTGCGCTTCAGTGGCGTGAGATGAAGCGCCATCTCCACAAACCCGCCGTTTAACAGGGAACACTTAAATCAAAAAAAAAAAAAAAAAAAAATAAGAAATAAACACACACACACACACAGCAAAATAAGAGAAGGAAAAATTGAGAGGCGGTAGAAACATGCGGGTGTCCATGCAAGAAAAAAAAAAATGCCTTGAAGTAAACAGAAGTTAATTCCCTCCTTTCATTCACACAATTGCGGACCCGCGAGAAGTCAACCAGCAACCCCAGCGGTACAAACACACACGCAAATAGACAGAGTGAAAGCAAAAAAAAAAAGAAAAAAAAAAGAAAAAAGAAAAAAGAAAAAAGAAAAAGGAAGAGAGAGAGGGGGAGAAAGAGAAACCAAAAGACAAACACACACAAAAAAAAATAATAACAATCAAAAGCCACTTTATGGTCTCAAAAGACTGTGCACATTAAAAATATGTATATATGCACAAACTAAGAGAAGGTAAAAAAATAACAGGAAGTTTTGGGGAACAACGCATAAATCACATTTATACGTAAAAATAGATTTTTTTTCCTTTTTTTTTTTCTCACACTTCTGCATGATCACCACAAAATGCAGCATCTTTTATTGGGGGAGACGGCCTTTTCTTCACTTTGGGTTTTACCACCACCACCACCACGACCCCCAACAACAGCAAAAGTAACAGCAACAAACCCGCCCCGGTCCCTCCCCCCACCACTCATCGGGATGGGAGCCGAAGCTGAGGAGAATACTGCTGAGGATGAGGGGGAATTAAGAAATAAAGTACTGCTTTGGTTGCCCCCACACGGAAGTGACGCCGCCGCTGGATCAGCGAGCGATCGGTGTGGCGCGGCAGCCGTTGTCGCCTTTTCTTCCTGTTTCTGGGCGGCAAGTCGCTTCGCCCGCTGCACGGCGTTTATCGACGACACCAGCTGCATAAAGGCCTCTCTGACGCCACTGCCTTTCAGGGCCGAAGCAGTGATGTGGCGCATGCCCAGCCGGTTGACGATATCATTCGCGGCGCCTTTTGACAAAAATTGCGAGCTGTGGAGATCCGTCTTGTTACCCAACACAATGCATACGCAGTCCTCACACGCGTACCGCCGCACATGGGCATACCACATGGAGAGCCGTAAGAGTGTCTCTTCCTGCGTTACGTCGTAGACAAGCAGAGCCCCCACCGCACCTCGGAAGAAGGTTGACCTGATCGCAGCACACCGCTCCTGCCCGGCGGTGTCACACAGCTGTGCAATGACACGCTCCTTCTCACCCACCCGCGCCGCCGGCACCTCCAGCTCAACCGAGGCAGACTCCAAGAAAACGGTGGCCTTTTTTTCAAGGTTAAAACTGCTGTTGGCAAAACGAGAGAGTAAGCTGCTTTTCCCAACCCCAGAGTCACCGACAATGATAACTTTGTACTTGGGAATAGCACAATGCTGGGACGACGTGACAGTTGCATTGGATGCCTCTGGGGATGCAGGTTTAAATTCCCCACCGACGTCGCCACTTTTAGTACCATTGCCAGAATTACTATCGCACTTACGGTCGTTGGCAGCTACGCACTTCACCGTATCAACGCCGTCTTGTGCCTCCGATATTATCATAAAAAACAGAAATCGGTCCCTTCGTCCTTTTTTTTTTTGGGTTTTCAATGACAGATGAAAAAGCAGCGGCAACAGAAGAAGAAGAGATCACATGAGGGGTGTAGGGCGGGGTCAGTCTATAAATAAACGCATGCTATCCATGTGAAAAACAAAAAACCAAAGGCGGAGATGCATTTGGTAAGAAGTGATAAATCACTTTCTGCCAATAAACCAACTCCTGTATTCTTCTTTATTCTCTTCCTTTTTTTCGCCCCAACGAGTACGGTGAATATGAATGTACGTATGTATGTATTCTTTTGCAGCAATTACCGCATGAGGTCCAGGAAGGCACTGGCGTTCTCCACCGCTTCCTTATCCCGCTTTCTAAATACGTCAAAGCCATCATCTGCTGTGTACACAGGATTTGTGTGCTTCTCCGGCGCAAAGTCATTCAACAGCATGCCGTTGTATTTATCCAGTTCCCCTGCCACCTGCGGTGCGTACTGAATTTCACGTATGCGAAGAATTGTAGCGGCATGTGGCGCATCCACCCACCGCACACGCCGACGGCCAGGCGTAGCAAAAAGAGACACAATGTTGCGCATCCGCTTCTGCTCCTCCACATCCGCCGTCACGCGCACGCCTGTCAGTAGCGGACGGCCAATCGCCGTGAAGCGGGGGCCACCGACCATCAGCACCTTCTTGAGCGCAATGCAACTCCCAATCTCCGCACGGAGCCGCTGCACCGCGATAACGTCGCCCACAGACACTTTGTACTGCAGGTTGCCGCAGTACACAACGGCAAACTTAGGGCCGTTGAGAAGCGACTCAATCGCTTTTGCTAACACCGGGTTAGCGCACTGAACGTGGCTCATCGTTCGCACGGGCTGTTTTGACACGCCCTCCCCTCCGTTTCTCCTCCTGCGCCCACCGCAGCCTGTCCAACACACACACACACACGCGGCCAAATGCGTCACCTCCACGTTCCTTTCGACAGCAAAAAGAAAAACAAAAAACCCATTAAAAATGAAAGAAAGAAGAGCCAATAAACAGTCAAACGCAACACACAACAAAAAAGGAACAGGATAAAGATGGGTTACAAACTAATAATAATAAAATAAACAAAGACCCTCCCACCACCTTCCTCGCTCCTGTCAGTGTGACAAGGTACTTTCAATGGCTGAGAATGACTGCAGGTACCAACTCAGTGATCGCGGCTCCAAGGCATCCTCTTCCCCATCCAAACCCCTCGCCGAGCCCACCCCATGATAAGCCTCACTGAACACCGCAGGACGCTTGCTTCCTGCAATTGGCGAGGAACCTGCAGCGACGCCTCCCAACAGGGAGTATTCTCGCATGTTGGTTTCACACGCACGATTGGGGGATGCATAGAAGGAATTCACCACCGAAGGAGCCACATTGGCGGTTCGTGCGGGCAACGTATTCAACACCCCGAATTCTTGCGAAATGAGTGGTGGTGATGGCGCCCCCGCCATCCCCAGTTCTCGCTGGGCCTTTAGCAGTGCGTTTAGTTGAGCCACCGCCTCCTCCAGCGTTGCACACCGGACTTTATTTTGACGCAATGCCTCCTCCAGCGTTGCACACCGGACTTTATTTTGACGCAATGCCTCCTCCAGCTCCGCAATGCGTCGCTTCTTTTGTTGCAATTCATGAAGAAGTCCACAGGGTTCATGCGTCTCTATTCTCTGAGGCGAACGCTCCTCACGTGACGTCAACTCGCGTTCTGTTTTTGGCTGGCGATAAAGATGATGAGGTGATTTATCGTTCCAGTGCTCAACAATGAGCTCGCACCGTTGCGCCATGGCCTGTTCCCATGTGTCAAGTGATAACCCGTAGAGTGTGACCAGCTGGTCTAGGCGTCGAAGGAGCTCTGAAACGCGTTTCTCCGCAGTTGATTGGGCGACAAGATTCCTCTCCATCTGCATTGCCGTTTGTTTTATCTCCTCTGCTGCCTGTTGAGTACCATCTGCTTGCCCCTGGAGAGTTTCCTCGAGGTATCGCACTTCCGCCTGCGACTGTTTTAGCCTTGCACTCAGGACAGCGTTTTCTTCACAGAGGCCCATGACAAGTGAACTCCACTGCCACAGAATAAATGCGCATCGCTTCAGCATTGTGTCTTCCCACACATTAAATAATGCCATGTATGCACTCTCCATACGATGAAGACGACACCACAGGTCTTCTTTCTGCAATGCGAGCTCATTACGATCGAGCCGTAAGGCCCCTTCTCTTTCCAGCATGACTGCAAGGGCTTCCTGCAGACGATTCACTTCCTCTACCATCTGCGCCCGTTCTTCCGATTTAAGAAGAGTGGCGGTGGCATCGGCCCGTTTCTGCAGCTCCTCCTTGTAAACTTGTTCTCTCGCATCTTCAATTTCCCTTTGCAACGCCACAATATGTCGTTCCGCCACGTTCTTCACACGCTCGCGCGCAGCTACTTGCACCTGCATCATGAGGCTTCGGAGCCGCATCTTTCCAGAGCGGAGAGCTTCCTCTGGAGTCTTCAAGCAGATGGATGTCGTCTCGTGTTTGCCATTCACACGCTTCCCGTCCTCCTCTTTTCCACCATTCTCGCCATTCTCGCCACCATTCACGGCAAAAGTGTATATACCTTCGTCACCAGTAAAAATATTCTCTGCTTCTTCCGCGGAGTTGGCCATCATTTCCAACCACGACTGCGCCCAACGTTCCACCTCCTTTTGACATCTCCGGTATTCATTCTCTGCTAGATGCTTCTCATTTGTGGCTGCGCAGAGCCGCTGCAGGAGTGCCTCTCGTTCCGCACGCCACCGTTCCTCTTCCATCTTCTGTTTGCAGTTTGCATCGGCAATTGCGGCATTCCTTTCATCTAATTCTCTCTTCACTGCCTCATACCGCCCTGACAGTTGGGTGAGGGCTTCCACAGCCTCCTGCCGTTGGCGTTGAAGATCGGCGATGGCATCGACGGCGGAGTTAACGCCGAGATCCGGCAAAGGGGGAGGCGGCACTGCTGCCGTCCATGTGGAAAAGGGCCTTCGTTGCTGCCGACTTTTTCCCTCAGCGCCATGTTGCTGTCGCTTATGCAACTGCATGTGGTCCGTGGAAGGCATAGCATCGGTGCACTGCGATGCACATGCAATTTGAGTGAGCTCCCGCGAAGGTGATTTCGAGAAATCTTTGGTCAGAAGCGTTTGGCTTTCATCACTCCGACAAACACCATGGCACGAAATCTCACGCCCTGCGGCAGACTTCTTTGGAGTAGACTCCAAACTCACTGCAGAGATCTCCCCACTCGCTGCGTCGCCCACAGACGTATTTAGAGACCGACCAATACGTCGGACAGACGTCATGGTACGCGTGGCTTGCTGCGAAACGGAAAGGAACGACTGACGCGAATCGTTGAGACTAACGCTGCTACACTCGGCACTCGCAGTGCTCAGGTTGCGAAGAGCCCCGCGGGCATCCTCGTAGAGACAGAGCAGCGTATTGTAACTGACCTCCAGCTGCTGGTGTGCTTCGCAAAGCATTCGTTTTAAAAGTGCCACCTGCTCACATGGCACCGGTGATGGGCCCCGTGTTTCCTCTGCTGAAACTTCCTTCTTAGTATCACTCAACGGCCTCGTCATTTCCCTTTCAGTTTCAGCAGAATTTTCACAGACAACATTCTTCGATGGCGTCGTCACAAGGGCATCCATTTCCATCTCGCGATCATGTGTCCACGGGTACTGCGGTGGTGAATCCGGCATAGGCGTAATTTCACCCGTCGCAAATCCGTGCTTTAGCCGGAACCTTAACTCACGTGTGAAGCTTCTGTGTGTCTCTTCATACCCAACACATGTCTTCACCAGCGTCTGCAAACACTTACATGATTCATGGAGTTGTGTACGAAGGATATCGCTACGCCGCTTGGCTTCTTGCGCCGCACACCGTTGATGCGCCAGTTGAGCTTCCGCCCGCTTACACCGCCGCTGAAGCTGGATGCAGTTATCCTCCATGAGACGCAGTGCCTCTCGCGCCTCTGACTCGCCAATTTCCTTCGCACGAAAGAGCGACTCCCGCTCTCGCGCAATCGCCTGCAAGGCAGGAAGAAGGGAATTCTTTACGTGCTCCGAAAACACAACGGCTTTGGCCGTGGGGACCCAGGTTGAAATAATGGGACTCTCCATCATGCGACAAGGCGGACCGTTTCGACGACCGCTTGCGTTATTGTTCTCGGCTCCCTCCTCTACCCCATAGTGGGGCAGAAGCAGGACCGTGAGAAACTGTTCTATCCAATGAGTGCAGTCTTCTATGACACAGGCGAGAGAGACATTTTCCGGCCTTTTTTCGCCCCCAGTTGGACCCCACACGGACGTTATCCCAAGAGATGACTGTTTCAACAATTGCACGGCAGAATAAGTTGTGAAGGCCGAAATGCGTTCTTTGAGCGATTCTGACGCCAAATGACATGCCCGCTGCAACTCTTCTTTAGTAATGTGATAGCGACAACCGCAGTACTCATCCAAAAGTACGTCATGTCGCGGAGTGAGTTGGCCACTAAACAAGCAAGGAGCTACATCCGTGTCAAAGGCCAACAACGCCAACTGATTGGCGACATGCAGCACATCCTCCAGAGTGAAGTGTCGCGGAACAGCGGTCATTGTGCCAATGTCATCCCCCCAAACTGACAAGGGTGGTAGTGGCTCCATGGCGTACATGGCTAGAAGGACACCTTCCGCAGTGGCTACAAACAGCTCCACTGCCGCAACGATGGCGTCGTTCATCCTTCCCTCTATAGGAGAAGATAAAGTCTTACCATGCGCACCCTTCGTGAGAAACCACATGTGCCCTAAAAGCATGGACCAGTGAAACGGATTTCGAGAACATGTTGACTCCTGCATTTCTTTCATCCGTAACAAGTGAGAGAACACTGCCTGAAGGTCACCAACGCAATGCGACCTTGCGGGGATCTGCTTCATACTGCATGGGGCTTCTCCCAAAACAGTATAAAAGAAGAAGGGACATTCCGCTGGCCGAGCGCCACATCCAACTCTGGCGTGCATCGGCCCTGGGGCTGTAATTACCGCGTGATACACGTCATCTATCATAGAAGCGACATGGTTGATGGTAGTTGAGCAACCCACGGCGTAAACAAAGTCAGTTACCGACACGAGTGTTTGCCAAATGGGGGACATCTGACTCTTCTCAAAGTCCAGCTTGTCGATCCCCAGTTCGAGTAACATCACGCTCAAAGACAGCTCGGTTTTTTCTTCCTCATTTTCTTCATTCCCCAAATTGCCTCTCACCGAGTCCTCGCCACTTTCACAGGAGGTGGTTGTTAGTCCCGCCGTGACAAAAGGACGCACGGAGAGAACGCGGGGGGTCGACCCCGCAGTCAGTTCGCGGCAAACAAGCCCTACCAGGAATGGCTCATTGCCGCCAAAGGCCACGCTCTGGGTCGAATGTCCCCTTGTTGAGCCTGTCATAATTGTGAGCAAGCGCTTCATGTCCACTGTTTCTTCCTCGTCGGTTTCCTTTCTTTGCCCCTGAACACCTCTCAATCCACTTGATTTTGCGATAGGCTTTTTGGTTCTGAACTCACTCTCATGGCGCTGCTGCAAGAATCGACGCAATTCCCGTACCCTGGTATGAACTCGTTCCATATCTAGCACTTCCCCATCCGACATAACACCCTTTTGGTTGGTGTCCCTGCCTCCCCTACGGCCAAAAGTCCTCCAGAAGGACCCACGAACAACGGTCTCCACAAAGGCATTATTAAGAGGAAAGGAATCTTCTCTCGTCTGCTGGCCGGGAGAAACGCATTTAACCTCACAACCACCACCAACCTCAGTAACGCCAAGTGGATCAGATGTACTGGGGACGTTCATATTGGAAGGTGAGGCATCCTCAATGCATGAGCGGAGGGAGGCTATAAGGCACAATTTTTCCCTTTTGTTCCATGCAGACAGGTGACACACCAAAGTGTTCTCCGTGGCGTTTGCCCCAGCCGACCAAGAGCTTTTTGCACGCACCACAGAAGAAAGAAGGGGCTCCAGAGAAATCAAAAGCGATGGGGCTCCTTGTTCAGGGTGCGCTGAGGACTCCACGCAAAGATCGCCATCTTCAAAAATACAAAATGGAATGGTCGTCCCTGCCATCGTATGTATATATATATACGACAAAACCCACGGGGTACTATGTGCGGTTTTAGTTTAATAGATCGTCTTTGCATGACATGTCAAGACGTCAGTTGTGTTGTGAGAAGAAAGAAAAAGAAAAAGAGAAATAAACATGAAAGAAGGGAAAAAAGATTTATGGCTATTACGACACCAATCTTCACTACAAGGAAAAATATCGGTCAGCTCCTGATTATCCCTCTTTTTAGAAAACACACATTAATAAATTGCATCAGATTACAAGGGCTTTCTCACATTCGGCCTCCTTCATCCGGGACGCTAGACGATGGTACAGTATACAACTCTCCTCCCGTATACTGTAGCAGCCGGCCACCTCAACATATTGCCAGGGTCTATTAATCCCTCTGCTGGGGAGGAAGCAAAAGGACCGGAAGGGCAAAAGATGGAGCCACTTATCAACGCTACCGGAGAAGCGGGGTTTTTAACCGCTACCTAATTCAGTCGATGATTAACAGCGCTACACACAGTGTAGCTATACGTGTTGGCAAGAGTAGAAAAAAAAAAGTTCTTCTCCCTCGCTCCTCATATTAGATCCACAGGCCTACCACTTCAAAAGGCAATTCCCTCCCAAATTCTTTGACAGTGGGTTCCAGAGCCTCCCCTCAGGGTCTAAACGAATAATAATAATAATAATAATAATAATAATAATAATAATAATAATAATAATAATAATAATAAAAGTGGAAATCCGGACAATTTATTGAGTTCAAATAATTTTAGTTGCTTGGAAGGGCATTGTTTTTGCTTGGTGGCTTGTATGTTCCAGCCGATGGCCTGTCCGTGGGTGGCTTGTATGCTCCAGCCGATGGCCTATCTGTGGGTGGCTTGTACACACCAGTCGATGGCCTGTCCGTGGGTGGCTTGTACACACCAGCCGATGGCCTGTCTGTGGGTGGCTTGTATGCTCCAGCCGAAGAGTTGTCCGTGGGCGAAATCGGTGTTCCCTCAGTTTTGTTAGTTGATGGCACGTATGCTCCAGCCGATGGCTTTTCCGTGGGTGGCTTGTACGCACCAGCCGATGGCCTATCTGTGGGTGGCTTGTACGCACCAGCCGATGGCCTATCTGTGGGTGGCTTGTACGCACCAGTCGATGGCCTGTCCGTGGGTGGCTTGTACACACCAGCCGATGGCCTGTCTGTGGGTGGCTTGTATGCTCCAGCCGAAGAGTTGTCCGTGGGCGAAATCGGTGTTCCCTCAGTTTTGTTAGTTGATGGCACGTATGCTCCAGCCGATGGCTTTTCCGTGGGTGGCTTGTACGCACCAGCCGATGGCCTGTCCGTGGGTGGCTTGTATGCTCCAGCCGAAGAGTTGTCCGTGGGCGAAATCGGTGTTCCCTCAGTTTTGTTAGTTGATGGCACGTATGCTCCAGCCGATGGCTTTTCCGTGGGTGGCTTGTACGCACCAGCCGATGGCCTGTCCGTGGGTGGCTTGTACGCACCAGTCGATGGCCTGTCCGTGGGTGGCTTGTACACACCAGCCGATGGCCTGTCTGTGGGTGGCTTGTACGCACCAGCCGATGGCCTGTCCGTGGGTGGCTTGTATGCTCCAGCCGAAGAGTTGTCCGTGGGCGAAATCGGTGTTCCCTCAGTTTTGTTAGTTGATGGCACGTCTGCATTCATAGACAGCTTTTCCGTGGGTGGCTGGTAGACGCCACTAGAAACAGCTGTTTTGGCGCCAGCCGTTTCCAACGGAGACGCCGGGGAAGACTCCGTCTTCTTGGCATTCCCACTCACAACTTCTTCCAGTGTTGGCAAGTCGGAAGAGCTGAGGTTTGCACCGCGCCCCAGCGGTCCCGTTGACTCGTCCTTCCCACGTGCCACAAATCTTCGCGGTCCGGATTTTTCGGCTGCCTTTGCCAGCAAGTCCCCCACGGAGGCAGACGCCGGCTTCACGTCATCCCACCCCTTCACCTTCTTTTCGGATGTCTTGACCACCTGCATAACCACTTCCGTGTGATCCCCATCGTCCTCCTCGACGGCATCAGCGGCGACTGCCTCTACGGGGGCGCTGCTTGATAAAGTGACGACTCCTGACACGCGGTTGTCGATGGGGGACGCGACGGTTCCCTCATTGCTCGGGACGTGGCCGCTTCCCGCTCTCGTCGCCTCCGGCGTGATGGATGGGGCGCTATCCAGTCCGCCAAAGACGTCTATTCCTAGCTCCGCCCGCTCCTTCTCCGAAAGCTCGCCCGTCTTGGCCTTCTTTTTTCCCCCCGCGAGCTTCTTGCTCTTTTTATTCAGGAATGCATCTAGATCCATCCCTTCCCTTCGCTTCGTTTCTCGTTTTTTTACCCTTTACTCACTTCATTGCGCATGCATACAGTTGGAAGATATTGTGTTGTATTTCACATGCACGTCCCCCTAGCGGAAAGCAGGGACGCACAGATATTCTCACACACCCCTCGTCACACACACATAAACACACAAATAAATACATACATGCCACTCATCACTCCTTAGAAAGAGTGTGCGCAGCTAAAACAGCAAACAGACAAATAAAGAACGTGCGCCTAACTAAATTATTCTCCCCTTTTCCCAGAGGGAGAGAGGAGGAGGAGGAGTGACCGTCGGAAGGTCACAGTTTGGCTCACTGTACCCGAAATCCCCCACAATTCAGCGGATATTCGACCAACACCCGAACACCGGTAAAAAGCAGCCAAACGAACTCAAAAGGCATTTTATGATAACCGGGCTAATCATGAGGTGACGAATTCCCCTGACGCAGTCGACCACCTCAACTTGGAGAACTGCAGGGAAGATTGGGACGGGCATGCTGAGGCGAGGAAGAAAAAAAAACAAAAACAATAAACAACCCTCGCTGCCTTTCGGCACCCACGATTGAAAAAACAACAACACACACACACACACACATCAAATTCAGAAGTAGCGAAGCCAACTCATGTAAAAAAGCTGCTCTCCCTCTCTTTTTTCTCTCTCTCTCTCTCTCTCTCTCTGGTTTACGGCGCCTCATCCAGAATCAAATTCCCTCCGCAATTTTTCTCATAGAAACTGGTATCGATTGGTGTATTTTGCCATCCATGCCTGCCCCACAAACGCGGTATCAGATGCAAGCCGCGTGGGACACACCGTCGTGGCTCTCTCTGCCAGGGAATGTGTGCGACCCATCACTGCAGCTTAAAAAGAGGCCACCACTGCCGCAAATGGTGGCAACGGCGATTGGAATAAGAATCCCCATAAGAACAGCCATTACGCTGCCATCATCTTCCATAGGAGTCCTCTTTTTGGGCTGCTGTGACTTAACGACAATGATGCCCGAACATTTTGGCATTCTATTTAGACTGAATAATGGAAAGAAACAAAACTCTTCTTTTCAGTTTTCCCAAGTGCGTGTTTCTTCTCTCTTTCTTTCCCCACACTACGAGTTCAGTAACATATGTATATGTATATTACTGCAGTCTGAAGGAAATGGGAAAGCAGGAAAGAATATCCACAAACAATCCAAAAGGAGGCAGGGGGCGGCGGAGGATGTGAGGCCATAAAATTTGAGTTTGTGGGTACGAGTTATCCCACCGCACTTTGGTCTCGTTCCTCATTTCGTTTTCAAGTGCCACTGCCATTTTAATGGACAACAATGGGCGGAATGATTCCTTCTATCCTCCACAGACACACACACACACACACACACAGAGTGAGAAAAAGTGAGAGGGAGAGACAAACGGTAAAATACAGAAATCACATTTGGCATACCCACACACTCAGACACCCGCACGCACAGTCACCTCCCAGAGAAACCAGCAAGCAAGTCCCGAAAACAAGAAACACAAGCCAAACTGCACTCACGGCAAAAAGCAGCGATAAATACACACATGCACACATATTGTACCAGCCTTTCCTCTCAACTCGTAATATAAAAACAACAACAACAACAACAACAACAACAACAACAACGGAAGAGGATTTCAGGAGAAGCTCTTCATTGGTACCCTTATCTGTATATGTATGTATTGTGTACTTATATATTTCTTGAATCATTTCCCTCTTTCTGTGTGTTCTTTTGGGTTTTAACACCCCTGTACATCGCATTGCGAGAGCCCACCAACACATCAACACTATCTTCTACAACAGCATCGTGCCATGGGTACTTAAAAATACATGCACACCATCCAGTGACGATGAATCATTTCTTTCGCTTCATATTCAGAAGCGCTTTGCTTCCTCCAACAACAGGTGAGACATTTTTCTGGGTCTCTACTTCAAAATTCCCTTCAGTATCCGCAAATAAAGTTACACTTTCACCTGTTCCTGGTGAACTCTTTGCGTGGGATTTTGAGGGAGTTCTCATTTGATGCCCCGTCCGCTTACACCACCTTCGTGTAGGTTGTGTGGCTCTGGCCAACGCACGTATTTGCTGCTGCACAAGACGCATTTGCCCCCCGGCAATCTCAACCTTGCGGTTCCAGTGCCGTTCCGCCTTTTGAAGTTCGTACTCCTCGGCTTTTTGTGCTAAATAATGTTCGATCTTTGGCACACGGACAGCCTCATGTTGGGATTTGATGGTAGCGTTTTTACGCTCCGCAGCATCCGCCTCCGACGTGACGGAGACCATCTCCCGCTGCAGTCGTGCCAAATATTCACAACGATTTTTTAGGTCTTTTCGCAGACGGTTCTGTTCCGCCGTAAGTCCATTGAGTGCATCCATGAGTGTGTTGAGCGTCTGCACGGTGCGTGTGGACGTTCCCTTCAATTCCACAAGTTCTAAATTCTTCCGCTCGATGCGTTCATTAAACTGCTGGTTCTCAATGCGGAGCTGTTCAAAGTCAATGGCGCGAAAGGCCTCCCCAGCCGCATGGCGTTGTCGTAGTTGCTGTTGGGTCTGCGTGATATTTCGCTCCGCCGCCGCACACTGAACATTCAACTTGTCCAGGTACTTTGCCTGCATGCTGTAGCGCTTTGCCATAAATCGCAGCAAGTCGTCTGATGAGGCGGTGCTGCTTCCCTCGTTCAGCACCTCCCGTTTAAACTGCAGCAACTCCAGCCGAAGTTCCTTCGAGCGTCCAACGGCTTCCTTCACAGTCGCTGTGAGCAATTCGTGTAGATGTTCTCCCTCCTTTTCGTCCTTTTCCCGCTGCTGCCGAAGCCTGTCCCTCTCCTTTGTAAGCATCGCCACGCGGTCCTCTAGTGTGACGTACATTTCATTGGCGTCTACCGACTTGCGACTGTACGCCTGACCCCGGCGGACGCTGGAAGATGAGAGGGCGATGGCCTCCCCGCCGAGTTCCCCGCTCGTCGCGACCAGATTCTCACTCAGAGTGCTATCCTCCGGCGCCTGCGGGAGAGGTTCGGAGAGAAGAAGTGTCGAGATGGATTTTCTTCTGTTCGTGGGCGAACCGAGAAGGGCGTTGGGGACGCGTGGCATTCGCAAAGACTCTGCGTGGCGCAGAAACACTGTTGTCTCCTCTTCCAGCAGATCCACTTCTTCCTGCAACTCCGCCACAATCTCCCGTTGCTCCTCCAACGTCAAGGCCCCAAACTCCTGGGCATCAGGGAACTGCCGCAGGTACACCTCCTCCCACAACTGCTGCTCATTGCTGTCGCATGCCAGGAATTCAAATGGGTTTACCTCGGAGCCGTTCTCCGCAACCGGGGACCGGGCGGTGGACATGAAATACGCTCACCTGTGATCTTGACACCTCCCCCGGTGAAGAAATACACAAATAAAAAGCAATCAGCATTACACAAAAGGAAAGAAAAACAAAGAGTGGAACAAAAAGAGGGTCGTACATGAAATTGCGTAACGTGTAATGTGGAGTGTGGGTGTGCATGGGAAAACAGCAGCAGCGGCGGCAGCAGCAAAACAGCCATCATGGTAAAACCGCGTATGCGTCGCGGTACCGTGAATGAGTGAAAAAGACAAACACTAGCAACACACACATAATCATATATATATACGGGAAAATAAATGTAAGGCATGACAAAATAATTTGTAATTTAACTGGTACCAGGGACAACGTTGGGGTGTGCATGGCACATGTAATTTATGGTGAATTGTCGGTGCACTATTTGTGACGTGCACGCTTCTGCACACCACCAACGCAGCAAGAAGGGAATCAGCAAGAAGAAGAAGAAACAAAAAAAAATAATCAACAAAAACAAAACAAAAAACAAAACTTTCCGCTTTCTTTTCGTTTTTCTTTTTTTTTTTAGCCTGTTTTTTTTTTTGTTTTTCTTTTCCCTCTCCGTGGCGCTTCTGCATTCCTTCTCGCCCCACTGGCTGTGGGATGAAGCGACAAGAGAGAAGAAGAAGAAGAAAAAAAAAGCAAATCTCAACCACCACAGCTTATATATGTATGTATATATATGTAGAAATAGAAAAAAAGGGTAAAATAAAACGGACTGCCAACAACCTTGCTGCTGCAGGCTTGTGATGCACATGTAACGCTCTCACTGTTTACCACACATCTATATATATATATATTTATATTTTCTCTCCTTCTCTTTCCTTCTCCCCTTTTTTACGCCTTGCTGCCCATCCCCACCAAACTCACTCGGGATGATCTACGATCGTTCAAACGTCAATTAAAAGCCAAGGCGTGAAAAAAGGCAATAAAACCGTACTGAACCAACCAACCAACCAAAAAAAAAAAAAAAAAGAGAAAGGGGGCAGACACGCACGCACAAAAGAAACAAGCAGAAAAAAAAAAAAAGGTTACAAGCTCCACAACAGCAAGAGAAATAGCAACAAAACGCGCGCACATGACCTCACGACGGTGCCTTTCCTTCCTCCAACTCAAGTCTTCCACTGCTTCTGCACCTCTAACTCTGATAGAAAAGGATGCTGCAATGCTTCGGTGCAACTCATGCGTTTTCGTGGATCGTAGCAAAGCAAACGCTGGACGAAATCCAAAAACACCTTGTAGTCCTCTACACCATGTCCCGCCTGCCCCTGACGGCACCCTCGCGGTCCACCCGAGTAAACTCCAATGGTTTCCTCAAGGCTCTGATAATGCTCGGGCGCAGGCGGATAGCGGATGACAAACGGGCTCTTGGACGGTGCAGTGGCGCCCGATTGTTGTGGTGGCTCCGCTGCCGCTGCCGCCTGTTGCACACCCGCACGAGTCCCCCGTGCAGAGGAGGGCAATGACCCCTCGTTGTGCGCAATAGGATGACTCGCTGAGGTCAGTCGGGGCCTTGGCGTGAAGGTTGACGCTCGCACTGCCGCGGACGATCGAGTCGGCAATGTCGTCATTGGGATGGCAGCCGTTGCATTGGCACCAAGATGTGTCTTCTGTTGCGATGAATTCCCAGATGTGGCGTGCTTGCCTCTTCTCGTTACTGCAGGAGCAAACGATCCCACTCCTCCCCCACCGCCAGCAGCACCTATCGTCGTGTGTCCTATAACATCCTTCTTCGCAGATAATGCCGTCGAGAGAGCCGTTTTTGGTCGGCGCAGCGCAGGTACAGCTACCGTGTTGTTGTTATTGTTGTTGGCACATACATTGTTACCAGGTGTGGGGAAAGAGTTTCGATATGCTTGCCGTCCATCCGTTGCTTCTCCTATAGCCTCTGCTGTCAATTGCTGTTGCTGCTGAGAATGTGGTGGAGTTGCCACTGCTCTGGCTGCGACATCCGAGTGACCGACGTAAGAACATGCCGGTGCCGTAGATGCAGCGGTGACGACAGAGATGGACGATGTTGCCGATAAACTATGCAGTACCTCTGCTGCGATGACTGGAGACGGGGACGCGGCATGCTCCCGTCGCTGCGTTTGATCCGTCATGACAGGGCCTCCTTCTCCCACGCCTGTGGAGTGTTGCAAAAAGGCCTCCTGCTGTGTCTGTCGGGAGTCCACAAAGAAGAAATCCTTCTTTGGGCTTCTCTCAATCATTTCGTCAGGCAAAGGCCCAAGCACACCAATGAAGCGGGCAACTTGTTCGGCCTCGTTCTTTCCAGCAAAAAGCGGGACACCCGTGTGCAACTCCACAAGCATGCAACCAAGCGACCAGCGGTCAATGGCGGTGTCGTAGCCAAGTTCCAGGATTACCTCCACACTACGGTAAAACCTCGATTGAACATATTTATACAACTTGGCCCCTTGGTGCAGGTAACAGGCACTGCCAAAGTCAATCAAACGAATGGAGCTTCTACTTGGATCCCGCAGCACCACATTCTCCGGCTTTACATCACAATGAATAATGGGCGGATTATGCTCCTCTAACTGTTTTAGCACCAATATCAACTGATAGGCAAACTTTCTGGTTAGATCAAGACTCACACCGTTGTAATTTGTACGTTGAATCAACTGAAAAAGATTCATACTTAGCATCTCAAACACCAGAACAAGATGACCCTTCCAAACAAACACTTTACCAAGACGCACAACAAGGTTCTCTAAAGAAGGCACACTATTAAGCCTCGCTACAATGTCTACTTCCATGAGTCCTTGATTGTAGAAGTATTCCCCACTACGAATCACCTTTGCCGCAACCTGCTCTTGATGCTTCTCATCAAAGCACTTCAACACAGTACCGAAGCTACCACGACCAAGTATCCCTTGTACTGTGTACCGTCCCCATATGACCTCACCTGTAAAGACAAGATAATGCCCATGTCGATCATCATAGCCATCATTATACTTTGGACCGGGCTGCCGACACCGACGTTCCTCACTATATTTGCTGTTAATAAGTCTGTACAGTGGCATAATTTCCTGCGATAGCGCGACGGATGGACGAAAGAGTGCACAACGCGGATGCAGTCGAGCATTTTCCAAGGCCGCTGTGGTCTTAGAATTTGTATTATTATTATTATTATTATTATTGTTGTTGTTGTTATTATTGTTATTCTTATCAGTATTATTAATGTTGATGTTGGCATTATTCGCCGCCGCCGCTGCTACTGTTGCTGCTGCGGTGGTGGTTGTTGCGATCGATTGAGATAACTGTTGCGGTGCCACGACATCACTTGCCGCGACGGCCGTCAAAGAGGCCAGCGGCTGCGGGCCGCCGCTCTGACTGCTCGGCATCGTGCGCCTCTTCCCTCCTCGTGCGGGTGCCTTCAGCGCCAACGACGGCGTGACAAAACGACGCCCAACCAGCCAGTCGCGGACGCGGAGCGGAAAAACCCCCCCTCAAAAATGGAAAAAAAAAACTTCCTCAAAAATCCCCCACGGCCGCTCACGCTGTGAGTAGACACAAACAAACACACGCACGCAAAGAGAAAAGAAAATAATTCAAAAAAAAAAAAAATACCCCCCGCCAAAAAAAAAAAAGAAAAAAAAAAAGAAAATAAAATAAAGAAGAAAGAGGGGCCCTCAAAAAAATATATTTTTTTTTTTTTCGTGCCTGTCGCTTTTCTTCTACGCCTGTTGTTGGCTCCTGTTCTTTGTGTATGTGTGGGCGGCAGCCACGTAAAACGTCCCTCAGCCTCTCAGCCACGCTCAGTGAAAACAAAAACAAAAAAAAACAAAAACGCGGCAACCAATGAAACAAACAGCACCCGGACGCACCCACACACAAACTCTTTACAAAACAACAAGGAATCGGTACTTGCAGTAATAAATGATTGCACCACCGCCTATTCCGCCCCTCCCACACCTTTTTTTTTTTTTTTTTTGCTTCTCCCTCCTGCGTCCTCCAGACTCTCGCTCGCTCGCTCTCTCTTTCACACAAGAACAGACGGAGAGGGCAAAACAAAAACAAAAACAAAAATAAGGGGGATTCTTCGCTTTTCTTTTCTTCTTTGGATATAAAAAAAAAAAAGATGCGTCGTGCAACAGAGCGAGAAGAGTAAAACAACAGAAAAAAAAAAAAA